TGTGGGGCTGTGATTCTTCTCCCCCGGACAGTGCCCCTGTCTTCATATCCCTGCTGCCTTCCTCCCACCTAGAGGCTCATGCAGCTATTCCTGTAGGTGGCATATGGGGCTGTGATTCTTCTCCCCAAAACTCCCCTACTATAGGATCTGAGAATTAAATGACTTTGGAACACTCGTGTGTGTTTTTCTCCTAGGCCCACCCTGTACGTTGGGAAGTACTCGACCAGCCTCTATGCCTCCCCCTCCATGGTGCACGAGGGGGTTGCTGTTGTGGTAAGTCCACCACCGGGGACTCAGGGCTGCCTCCCTGCTTCTGTCCCATTTAAGCAAAGAATGATTTTGATTATCTGTGAACATCCTCTCCTTTTGGTTAAGAATGCAAAACACAGACCTTAAATCCTCAAATCCAGATTATGCATGTGCCACAGTCTACTTTGAAGAAGACAGACAGGCCAGAGCAGCCAGTGACCTCTGGTGGCCCCTTTGCTTTTGTGGTCACACCTAGACTCCCCAGGCTAGTGTTCGTGGCACTGTTAGTGTCCCCTTCCCCTTTTTCCTCCCAAAGCTCCCGTCCATGTCTCTTCTGAGCCTTCTTCAGGCTGCTCCTCACACTTCACATGTCCTGTCCCTCCTTTTCCCTACTCAAATCCTTTCCATCCTTCCTGTCCAAGCCTCCTTGAACCTCACCAGTCTACCTCAAGTGTCCATCTCTGAATGTCTGAGGCAGTATGAGCCTGGCCACTTGTCTTGATCTTTAGGACATTTTCTCTCTCTCCTGTTGTTGCCACCATCAATAACAGCCTGGGATTGAATTGGGGGCCCCATTAGTGGGAGAGATAAAGGGCTCCTGTGAACAGGCAGCGTGGTAGCTCTCGCGGTGCCTGAGCCAGCACCAGGCACGTGATGGGGTTTGTCTGCTGAGCTGAATGCACTGACAGTGACTGGTAGATAGCTCATAGCTCATAGCTTCACGGAGTTCTGTACACACCCTTCCTATTCCCCAGCGCCGAGACATAAGAATCTAAAAAAATGTCCATGTTAAAGATGTCAGCACAGCATGTCACATCCTGAGAGAGGAGCTTGTCTCATCCAGTCTTAGGGCCTCTGTGTCCTGCTCTGTCCTGGGCCAGCCCTGCCCTCGAAATCACTCACCTTCAGGCATAGCCCTTCCCTTGGGGCTCAGGACAGTTGCTGGGAATGGGGCTTGCGGGACCACTCTCCAGCGGGGGGCCCAGGCCTCACTGCAGTGCTCTCCACAGCCCCGAGGCAGCACTCTCCCTTTGCTGGACGGCCCCCAGACTGATGGCGTCACCATTGGAGACAAAGGGGAGTGTGTGATCACGCCTAGCACAGACCTCAAGTTTGACCCTGGACTCAAAGGCAAGAGCAAGCTCAACTACTTGCGGAATTACTGGCTTCTGATAGGTAAGAGCTAGTCCCCAACAGCAGCCTGAGGTGGCGGCATACTGCCTCCCACTGGGCAGGGCACCCTGCTGGTGTGCAGCCACTCTCAGCTCTGAGCACTTGGGTTCACTTCGTGTCCAGATTGGTCCTGTAAACCTTAGAACGCTTTCTTCCTCTAAGGAAAATAGGGTAGCCATGTTATGAGTCAGTTTTCAGGAACTATCTAATGTTCCAAAACTCAAGTACAGAATGATGTAAATAGCGTGTTGTCATCCAACACATTGAATGTTTGTTATATGTCGGGTGATAGACAAGACGCCAAGCACTTTAGGATATACTTTTTTTTTGAGACAGAGTCTCACTCTCTTGCCCCAGTGGAGTGCTGTGGCATCATAGCTCACAGGAACCTCAAACTCTTAGGTTCAAGTGATCTCCTTACTCAACCTCCCAAGTAGCTGGGACTATAGGCACCTGCCACAATGCCCGACTATTTTTTAGAGACAGGGTCTCACACTTGCTCATGCTGGTCTCGAACTCGTGAGCTCAAGCGATCACCCACCTCTGCCTCCCAGAGTGCTAGGATTACAGGTGTGAGCCACCACACCCAGCCCAGAATATACTTTCTTATTCCTCATAGCGACCTTATGTGGGGTAGGTACCCTTGTTATTTCCATTTTATGGTTAAGAAAACTGAGGTTGTACCCATGGGAGAATTCATCTGAAGTCTGTGTGGGCAGGAGGAGAGGGCTGAAGGCCCCAGAGGGGCCGAGAGGAGTGAAGAGCTGGAGGCCGGGCTGGGTCCAGGGTGCTACTGTCCTGGGAGTCTGGTGCAGGGAGGTCCCTTTATTTCTCTCCTGTCATTGCCACCATCATTAACAGCTTGGTTGAATTGGAGGCCTTGTCAGCGAGAGAGATAAGAGGTTGAGATGACACCCAAAGGCAGTAGGTGTGACAAGGCAGAGGTGAGAGAAGCTGTGTCCCTGGCTGGTGTGCCAAGTAATGAGAGGTGTCTTCAGTGCATTCTGCCCTTCCTGTGCCCCTCCCATTCTGCTGCCTCCCAGCCCGAGAGGTGGGAATGTGCCCAGGGGCAGGCGGGAGGTTAATAGGGTGCTGGAGAGCCCAGAGCCTGGTGAGTTTTCTTCTCATTTCTTCCTCTGTGCTTGCTGCTGACTGGTACTAAACAGAAAGGGGTCTGGGCCATAGCTCCCAAGATGGCATGTGGGGCAGCTGGGAGAGTGTGGGGCCCTCAAAGCTGCTGGATCTACAGCGGGGTCTGGATGGGGATGTGTGTGTGTAACTAGCTATCAGAGGGCAGACTGGGCGTCCTCCAGCCCTGATCATTCTCTTTACAAACTATCTCGGTCCTTTTTTTTCATCCTGAATCCTTATAGCCATTTTTACTTTGTTTGTTATCTTTACCAAATAGTGGACAAAGGAGATGACAAAATAATTCTTTTTTTTTTTTTTTTGAGACGGTCTCACTCTGTTGCCCTGAGTAGAGAGCTCACAGCATCCTCAAACTCTTGGACTCTTCGGCTCCAGCGATTCTCTTGCCTCCGCCTCCCAAGTAGCTGTACCTGCAGGTGTCCACCACATATCCCAGCTGGTGTTTTCTATTTTTAGCAGAGACAGGGTCTTTCTTCTGCTCAGGCTGGTCTCCAATTGCTGAGCTCAAGCCATCTACCTGCCTCAGCCTCCCATCGTGCTAGGATTACAGGCATGAGACACTGGCTTTTTTTAAAAGCAGAAGTAGTTTGGGAAGCAAGCGTGAAAGGGTCCATGGTGAGGGGAAAAAATTACCAATAAGCAGAGGCCATTAAAGTTACAAGGCTGCTCAGAGTTATATACCAGCTAAACCACCTACCAGTGATTAAGAAGTGAAGTGAGAGAAATGTATATATAAGAATACAGGCTCGGCGCCTATAGCTCAACCGGC